TACCCACAACATAACACTGTCCCAGGCTGCTACCTAGATGCAGGCAGGCTGTGTCTGGTGGCATGGCCTCCTGTGATACTCAGCTGGAAAAAGGACTACCCTCTTCTCCACTATCCTGTCCACCAGCACCTCCAGGTCCCTGCTGCAAGACAGGGAATGAACTTCCCTTTTCTCTTGGTCAGAAATAACATTCAAGCACAATGTGAGTGGCAGTTCCTGGCCGGCAGAATCTGATGTGGTGAGCACCTGGGCTTTATATATGACAACATGGGCATGAAAGCTAGAAGATACTGGCAGTGCTGAGCTTTTCCATCTCATTGGCCATGTAATTCCCAAGGATGGCACCAAGATCCCACCTGCATACTTAAATGAGGTGAACAGCGGAATATTGTGTGAGAAAATTTGCTCTGAGTCATAGCAGACTAGCTGCCGTAAATCATAAACCATAAACTCAAACTCAATGTCTATTAGTATACCAATTGCTTAAGTTGACCTAAAACAATATGTTTGTTAATTCAACAGTTCAATTAGACGGCCTTTCAATAATTAAACTTTTCAATAACAAATACCTTGCACTTTGGGGAAGAGGTAAGCTGATGTTCATTTCACAGAAAGTACACGTTGTGTCGATTACAGACAGAAAGGAAAGAATAGAGTAAGAACGACAGCAAAGACCGTATTTCATCCCATTTGAATGATGCTAAATGAAGGATAAATTGGATTTTCATTTTCAATGAAATTTACAAGAATTACATCACATTTAACCTTTCAGGATGAATGTTACATTAATGATTTACAGCCTACTGGAATCAGTATTTGTAGTCAAATGTTGGAAAATCTGGTGGATTAACTGACTCATTGCTCCACTCTCTGTTTAAAGAAGGTAATCTGCTTTAAGGAAAGTTTGTTTTAATGGAATTTTTAAAACATAAATTCTCATTTCTTTCCCCAGAATTGTACATCTTTATGTATGCAAGAAACTTACAAGCTTAAAGGAGATGCTACTTTTGGTTTTCTTGTACAGAATCATCATTTCTGTATTTTGATTTATTATTGTGGTTTTTGTTGATAATTCAATATACACATAAAGATGTTTGGCATGGTCCTAAACCGTGAGGTGCACTGCTATTTAACAAGTCATAATGGACAGACAGAACACTTAGCTCACTATATTGGCATGAGTGATCAACGTGATAACCTCCACATCCTTTCAAAGCAAATCATCCGAAATGTAAGCCATTCATGAGACAGAACAAAATAGTTTGGATTTCTAGCACACAGCAGTATCGAATGTATGAAGCTTTCACTATTTGACCTTAGGCTGTTAACAGACAAGATACTGTCTTTGTTCCAAGGGACCCTACTGATAGATCAATAGTGTACTAATGTGTCAAACAGCTACTGAGTAGTGTTGTAGGACAGTACTAAAGGACTCCTTTTATCATAACTGACATAAATAGATTTCTTTGTGTTGCTAGCTGCAAAGTAACATGCTCTAGACTGCATGACGGGCTGTTTCATTGTAGAGACACTAACCCTTTTGATGGCTCAGTTGCCAGGATAACGATAAACGTTTCTTCCTGAATTAGAAAACCATGGAGAGGTAGGACCCTGAAGCTGAAAACAACACAGGTTTATAAAGTTAGTTTTATTTTCTTCCTTCCTCCCTTGAAGGTGCTCCAGTTGTTGGACTCTCAATCGATCAGGTACCCTTCGCTGGTTCACAGAAATGGCCATGCTTCATGTGTATAATTAGCAGTAAAGCCCAGACTCTTTGACTACAGCAGGCATCACATTTGAACTTCGTCCAATCCTCATCCAAAACACACAAATGTGCTTTGTGTCAGTTGTCACTGGATGGCAATCGGCAATCAGCAACAGAAATCCTGGTCACTTCTTTTCAGTTTTAAGTTCAGGATACTGAAGCCAACAGTAGTGCTCTATCTGCTGTTCTAGTTGATTAGAAAACAGTAAAGGCTAGGAAATCAACGGCTGAATATCTATCCTCATGATGCCTGTCTAGTGCCATTTCATGGAAATCGTACTGAACAATGGGAAGTGTGGGTCTCACTGGAATGCCTTTGATATTTGAGTAACTAAGGCCCGATATTTAGATTCACACTAAATAATGGGGATGGGTTACCTACAGAATAATGCACCAGCAAATATATCCAACATCAACTGTGGAAGACATTTAATCAACGTGTACTGTCAGTGTTTTTTTTGTCCAGAAACTGGGCTGGAGACTGAGCAATAATGCAAGACAAATCAAATGTAAAGAAAAGTCGGGAAATGACGAATTAAGTGACAGCAAACTTGGATTTTACAAACCTGAATGTTTTAATTGGAAGAAAGGATGAAGGTGGTGAAGAGTCTATACGTTAGAGGTCCGGGAAATAATGAGTTATAGAGGGGTTTCAACACTGATGTTATGGAGAGAAGAGAATATAGGGTGAAGCCTTTGCCATTTGGGAAGAAGAAACAAATTTTGGAGAATCACAAGTTAATAACTACTGCAAGGCAAAGAGAAAATTCAGGAATCATGAGAGAAATGAGTAAGTGATTCCCTACTATGCACCAAAAATGTTCTGACCTGTCCAAGATTTTGAGAGAAGTTTGAGGAGAAGCTTCTCAGGCCGAAGAAAAAAAATTAACAGACTTGGACTTTGAAAGAATCTGTCAGCCCATCAAAAAGAAAATATTCTGTTAATTTTTAAAAATAGATTGCTCTATTCATGAAAATCAAGCACAGCAAGTATGTTTCTCTTTAATGAGAAGAAAAAAAAAGTTTCAGAAAAATTAGCACTGTTTTTATTTGGAGAATGGCAAGCAAGTTACGAAGTCATCCATTTTCCTGTGATTTACCATTATACTGTTTATTTGAAAATATTATGGCCCAGATTTTCAACATGTCAGGCTGACTCAGGAGTGCTTTAGAAATGGTTAGCAGGATCCAGTAGTGAGATTGCCAACTCACCACACCCCATGTCACATTATGGTGAAAGCTTCACATGGGTGTCAGAAGTCAGCCACATCAAAGGCAACAAAGACAATACTATGGATAATTAATCAGAACAGAGCAATGAGAACCAATCAAAACTGGGTACCTGGACTTCTTAAGAAGCTTCATTTCTATTTGCTTTGAGAAGAACTTTTATAATGTACTATTTATTTTTACAGTTTGCAGCATCTAACTTTTTTGTCGAATAATGTTACTTTGATCTGTGTGGATGACAAATTCTGTAAGGATGGAGTCTTGAGCCCACTGATTCATGATTTGTAAACACTTTTACGTCAATTCAAAGCAAGCTGCTTATTTCGATAAAATTAGTACAGTCCCTGAAATGTCAGAGTAAGTAGGTAGAACCGTAATTATCAGGGTGGAATAAATCACACAAATGCTATCCACAATTACAAAGGAAATCATTTGAAATGCCTAAAGCCTGGAGTGATGCTTCTATCTTGTGAAAAAGATTACTCTTAACAATGCAGGCTTCTCTGGAATCAAATCTAAAAGAAAAATCCAGAAGTGTTCCTCACGATCGGATTCAATGTAGGGATGTAAAAGGTTAGCTTTCTTTGTGGATGGTCTAATGATGGTCTTCACAGGATTGTAAGAGAAATACAAATCAGAAAGAACATTCAGCCCTGTTATATGTCTTTTTTTTAAAAATCCATCTGCCAGTCACCTGTCAATGGTGTATCATTTCTATGTACGATTTCAGAATTTTGATGTCCATTCTGCCGTCTGTAACTTCATGTCATGTGTAATCACTCTTCATTTGAAAAACCTGCTGGCATTAGAACTAAATTTGCATTTTACTAATTTGAAACTGTTTTTCGGCTGCCTTCACTTGCAAATTAATGTGAATTAAATTTTAAGACTTACCCCTTTCATGTAGTTCAGAATTTTATATTTCCGTGAAGGTCACCCTTTAGTTATTTATTCTGAAGAGATCAGCTTCATGGCTATTCATTAAATAGTTTGCAGATTCAATGTTTCCCATGTATTTACAGTGAATTGAACTGAATACAGTATTAAAGGTTTGATTGAACTACAAACGCGTCAGAATTTCATCATGATTGCCTCTGACTGTATTCTACAGGTTTGGGTATATAATTGAGCATTTCCTTTCCTTACTGTTCTGCAATGGCTGCACATATTGAGTATCAAGTCTACTAAGATCCCAGATCTCCAACTTCATCCTTTGGAAGTTTCACATAATTAATATAGCATGTACGTCACCCATCTCCTTTCTACGTGCATTACTTGCCTGTATTGTTCATCCCATTAACACACAAAACACAAATTCATTACACAGCCATATACTCAGGATCATTTGGGTTCTCCTCATTTAATATTATTTTCAAATTTGTCATGTTTGCATTGAGTTTCTACATACAATTCAGTCTGGAAATTAGACAAATAATTCCACCTCGTGCAGATGCACCTACCTCACAGCTTCCAAATCAGATATTTGTCATAAATCACAATACTCTCAAAAGCTTAACCAATCAGAACAAGAATGTCACCAGCAATAGAGCATCTTCACCATCATAACTAAACTGCATTACTTATATTAGAAAAGTCTCATGGAAGTTGCTAAACAATGGAGGAGAAATGAGTCAGACACACGAAAGGTGCATGTGTGTTGGATGAGAGACCAATTCAAAAATTCAAGTGTGTAATAGTGTACTGTAGTGAAACTCAGAAAAAAACTGCACGAATTACATCAATTCTGCAAGGGTTAATGTTGGAATCTGTGGCTAGGAGGGCATGTTGCCAATTGTGTTTTGATCATGTTCAGCCATTCATGATAACGGACAGAGAGGCCAGAGTCTGGCTGGCTACAGCCCAGTTTCTAGTCCACTGGAGAATGAAATATATGTCAATTTCTCTTTTTTAACCAATACAATTTCATCAAAGAAACTGCCCCAACCCAACCCTCCTACCAAAGGGAAACTAAGGCAGGCAATACAGTAGTTATTTTAAATTGTACCTGTTCCATCGTCACTGGAACTAAAGCCACAGATTAGACTGATGTGTCGTACCCAGCTGTTCATTTCATCCTGTGTTTTAGCCACCAGGTAAAATGTACGGGTTGGAGTCTTAACTTCAAAAATGTAGCTGTTCTGGAATTCTTTTTTACTGAGCTTTAAGCCAGCTTCAACGTTCTCACATTGAGTGAGGTTTATCATACGGAGAGGTTTCTTGGAGTGGTGGTTTTTGTAGTATTCTAGGACATCTGGGTTGCCACTCATTCGACCACTGCGTAGCACAAACCAACGTTTCCTCCAGGCCTAGAGAAAAACAAAAATCAGTCAGACTTGAGCACTGTAGCATGAGCACAGATTTTACAAAAAAATACTTTCGCCCTTCTTAACAGGTTTGAGTCTCACTGGAAGACATTTCTTGTTCCCTATCTTGATGGTAATCCTTCACTCGTGAACCTAAGCTAATGAGTTTTGGAAAACAATGGCAGGATAAGACCGAGTCAGGATGGATGTATGAAAGGGATATCATGCTTGATAAAACTACTGGTATTTTTGGCAGATGTCACTCGGAGAGTTGATAACGGGGTGCAGTGGCGGTGGTTTACTTGGACCTTAAAAGGTTTTCGATAATGTCCTGCATTAGAGATTGGTTTGTAAAATTAGCACACATGGGATTTGTGTGTAGCGTAGTAACATAGATAGAGAACTGATTGGCAGATTAGAAACAAAGAGTAGGAATAAACAGGGAATATTCCCAAGTGGCAGGCAGAATCTAGTGGGATACTGCAGGGATAAGTGCTTGCATCTCATCTATGCATGATTTTATGATTTACATGGGGGGACTAAATGTAATATTTTCACGTTTGCAGATGAAACAAAGCTGGTTGGGAGGGTGAGCAGTGAGGCGGATGCAGAGATGTTTCAGTGTGATTTGGACAAGAGGAGTGAATGGGTAAATACATGGCAGATGAAGTATAATGTGGGTAAGTTTGAGATTATCCATTTTGGTAGCAAACTAGGAAGGCATATTATTATTAATTAGCAGTAGGTTGGGAAAGTGTGAAGTACAACAGGACCTGGGTGTCCTCATACACCAGTCACAGAAAGCAAACATGCAGGTGCAGCAGCTGGTGAAAAAGGCAGAAGGGATGTTTGCCTTCATAGCAAGACGATTTGTGTACAGGAGCAGAGATGTCTTGCTGCAATTTTACAGGGCCAAATTGAGACTACACCTGGAGTACTGTATCCAGTTTTGGTCCCTTTGTCTGAGGACGGGCATTCTGGCTACGGAGGCAGTCCAACAAAGTTTTACTAAACAGATTCCTGGAATGGTGGGACTGACAAATGAAGAGAGATTGGATCAGTTAGGATTATGTTCACTGGAGTTTGGAAGAATAAGTGGGGGAATCTCACGGAAACATAAAATTCTATCAGAAATAGATAGGGTGATGTTGGGACGCATGGTCCCGAACACCAGACTAAAATACTTACCTGGTTGTCCTTGATTGTTAATCTGTGCAAGACTTTGCAAAGGTTGGGCAAAAAAAGGAAATGGAGGGGTGAAACACTCTAGGAAATCAATCAGCTTGACGGCTAGCTTGAAATGACTGGGTAGATCTTTGATGGACACCAGGTGGGATGCTATAATTGGCTTTATCGTCCCAAAATACGGCAGCATGGCTATCAGCTGATTCTCACTCATGAATGCTTCCCTAACTGAAATTGGATATATGCAAAATTTGGGTGTTATTTAACAGAGGAGGAAAGGGTCTTACCAATCTGCTGCAGAACCAGTGAGTGCACTGCATTAGGGAAGGCTGACCACTTTGAGTGCAACTCAAGTTCTTGACATGAGCAGCAAGATCTTCCCTGATAGCAAATGGCTGCCAATGGCATGACACCCACCCAAGGATGGATACTGAACCACAAGTAACCGATGGAGGATAGGGTGTGGGCTACGGGGTATGGTAGTGGGTGACCAGCTAGGGCAAGGGGTGGCTCTGAGCAGCACCTGCCACACCCCCCAACTCATCCCAATGCCAGGTTCATCAAATCAGGTACCAAAAGTCTTTGAAAGAAGGACAAAACCTCCCGGGAACCAGGAAGCAACCCCAGTTCGGGTCTGTTTGTCAAGCCTTTTGCACAGAGTGCCTCAACCTTCCAAATGAGTTAATACCAGCAATGGCAGGATGCCTCCCTTAGATGGACATTGATTGCCGGCTTGATGGCTTCAGTTTGGACTGGGGCAGGAAACCTGACCACGGACATTTGGTCTTGGATTTAATCAGGGTTCCTTCCAATTTCCTGCTTGATTAAATGTCCTCCTTGCCACTTTAAACCCACTTTAGGAAACAACATTAAATTCCAGCCTTTGGGTGAGAGTTAATTGTCTCCTCATGTAAAGGATGATCACTTGGGAAATTGCTGGTCGGCTGCTGGTAGCATGAGGATTTACCCCAGCAATAGTCACCTCATTCGAGAAATAATGGCAAATTAGGAATCAGTTGCTCCAACTGATTTACATAAATAAGAAATGTTTGGAGAGATATGGCCCAAGCACAGGCAGGTGGGGCTGATTTAGTTAGGGATTGTGATTGGCATGGACTGGTTGGACCAAAGAGTTTGTTTCCGTCCTGCAATACTCTATGACGCTATAACTGTGATTCTATGTTCCTCCATGATTCATAATTGTGAAGCAAAGGGGAATGGAGAAAAATTGCAATAAGAAGAGTTTTTTTTTTAAAAATCATCCGCATGTTACAAATGAGTAATTTCTCCTTTAACAAGTGTTAGAAAATAGATCAGTTCAGAATGTCTATAATTACAGACTGGGAAGGCATCAACATTAAATGTAATTATAACAAGCCTTTTCTTCAATAAATGAAAGACTAGCACAGTATACTTTTGAAAGTACTGTCACATGGTTTTGGACATAACGCATGTGGTAAAAGTGGTTTAACACACACTGCACAATTTCCTTTAATTTGAATCTCTCAACTTCATGTACTTAAAGGAGGTGTTGCACTGCAGTTATGCAAATTGAGAATATATTACTCATTAAAATGACGTATGCATCATTACTGCATTGGAATTTCTTCATAAACACCATCATACCACCACAAAATGAATACAAAACAGGAAGCCATTGGACATGATATTGATCACTGATCTAGGAAAGAAACTGCAGCTCTCCATCACTATATTTATCTATTTGTTGAAAGCACTGTAACACTTGCTGCTTTAATTCAGAATCCAGGAAACCAGTGCCGATCTGCCAAATTTCAGCCTGTACACTGTTAAATTTTTGCGACAGATGTGGTTCTGAAAACTGTGATTCAGCTGCTTGCTCTCAGAACTCTGAATGCATTCTTACACCTGAACTGTAAGTTCTTGGGTTCAAGTCCCACTCTTGGGCATGATCACATAAGGAGAAGCAGTCTTTAAGATGACACAATAAGTTAAGGGCCATCTGCCTGTTCAAGTGGATGTAGACCCTATAGAATTATTGCAAAGGGAAAGCAAGGGCGTCTTCTCCTATAACTTGAATAACATCTATCCCTCAGCCAACCTCACAGTAACAGATTACCTGGTCATTGTCATATTAAAAAAAGTTCTGAAGACAGATGTTAGTCAATGATGCTGACACCAAGTAAAGCTGGATCAGGAGTGGGTAGGGCTGGGGTGAACATGGCAAGGAAAGAGTATGAGACCTGGGGATGGATGGCATGAGTTTTTGGGGCCTACACTTGGCATAAGGGGCTTAAAGGTAACATTCCACAACTTCATTTGACTAATTGCCAGCTTGCCTAATGCAACTTACCTGGCTGGATATTTCACTCCAACCTCTCCTGCCAGTGGGTTCTTGGGACTAGAGAACACCTGAAGACAGCTTAAAATGTAATATTGGACAACATACAATGTTGCTGTTTCACTGTACAATAATTCCGTGTTTTCTGCTGCTTCTTTTTACATGCCCATCAACTGGCACTATTCTGTTTGGAACTGTCTCATTTAACTAGATAAAGGCAACTCAACAGCACTCAAGAAGCTTGACACCAGCTTGATCAAAGCTGCTCATTTGATTGGCAATCCATCTATCACCTTAAACATCCACCCACTGATGCACAGTGGCAGCAGCATGTGCCATCCAAAAAAAATGATGCATCAACTTGCCAAAGCTCTGTCAACAACACCTTCCCACTCACAACTCTTACCATCCAGGGACAGAACTGCAGGAGCATGGGCTCACAATTACTTGCAAGTTCACCTCCAAGTCACACAACACTCTGATTTGGAAATATATCACTATTCTTTCACAGACCCTGTGTCAAAATCCTGGAACTTTCTTTCTAACAGCATTTTGGGTGTATCTACACCACATAGATCACTGTATTTCAAGAAGGTGACCCAATAGCATGTTTTAGGAGCACATATACTAAAATTGGAATGATATGGAGAAGATTCACATGGGCCCTGCACAAGGATGACATGCAAATTCGTGAAGCATTCCATATTTTTTGGGCCCACTTGGGACCCAGTGGTAGTGTTCCTACCCCTGTTCTGGGAGGCCCAGGTTCAAGTCCCACCTGGTCCAGCTGTGTAATAACATCTCCAAACAGTTAAGGATAAAGAATTATGCTTAAATGGTTAAGGATAAAGAATTGGTGCTGATTTTGTCACTGTTGCCTAGATCCTGCGAAGGAATGAAAATAAGGTTGAATTACCTCTGCTTTCTAGAAGTGCTGCCTGACCTATTGAATATTTCCAATTTGTTGGATTTTGTTTTTAGATTTCCCACATCTGCACTATTTATATTTTTGGTTCTTTGAGAAAACAAAAGGTACATTATTTTCTAATGTAGCACGGAAGCATACATAATAAAATTGAATACACAGTACTCTATAAAGCCCTTCAATTGATGAATACATATCTGGAGTCATTTCTTAGATTAGGTAATGACAGCCTTGCTCTTGTACAGGGGAAGAAGTCAGTCAAAAATTGATCATCAAAGTTTGAATATACTTTTCAGCCAGTGCAGAGTTCCTCTCCATTCACTATGAATTCATTGCTATCCATATGTCTATTATAAAGGTACCCATGCAGAAAAGAATTTTGACTGTACATATTCCTACATTGTTGTAATGATGCTTGTATTAGTCAGTTCTGAGTAACTACCAATCAATTATTCATTAGGCATGATGTAAACCTGATAACAACACATAACTTCTCCACCACTGTGTTTGTTTGCAGTACTTTACATATTATAAGGGATAAAGGTGGCCTAATATAAATAATAAAGTACTTGCTATTGTTTCCAAGAAATTGGAAGCCTTATCATTGGAAATGTGTTTCCTCTGCTTTAAACTTTCCAATATTATGTTCCTGACCAACATATTTAAATTGAAAGAAATTGTGACAAATTTGAATATGAAGATTGTGGAGTGGGCCTTGAAAGTTTGTTACAGAAAGAGAAAATTTTCAAGATGCTTACAAATTTAAAAAATGAATCTTTTGTACATCTTATGTACATCTCCACACTCTGAGAATAACTACACACGCCCTTTTGTAAACAACCTTCAAAGGCCCTTGCAGCCAACATTTGAATGCTGGATGCAAGGCTGGACAGGAGGTTCTGGCTTGAGTTCAAGCGGAGCAAATGGCAGAAACAAGAGAAAGCTAGTAACCTTAAACACGCCAGATTTAAACATGTAGATTTACAGTGTTTCGCAGGTGACATTGAACAGACAAACAGAGTGAGGCAGAAACTAAAGGAAAAAGGCATCTAAAGTAACAGTGCAAATCAACAGATTTAGCTGAGAAAGTTTCAAAAAAGAACCGGAGAGGACATCATTCCTACCAGAAGATATTAGAGGGAAAGCCGACACCCTCATGTGTACCATCAAAAGACCCAAACGCCTTAAAGGTCATGTATTCCAAGTGTGTAAATAGGCTGCCAAAAGTAGGACTCAATTAAGAAGCTTTGTTTGCATTGTATGCAATCATGTACAAATGTCCTTCCCGGCTTGCCACAAGCAACATTTTACTCATTGAACACAGGATGCTTGTTGAGTTTATTACCAACTTGCCCACGAAGTGCAGCAAAATCAGAAGTTGAAAGGACCTGAATGTCTTGGGTGTTTGATATACCAATATTCATATGTTGAATTACGGAGCTAAAGATTCTCAGAGATTTACAAACATTTATTCTAAATCTATAGTTTGGCACAAAAAAATAGTTTCCACCTTTCCCTCTGGATCCTTTCCCGGTCTAGAATCCAACACTGTCAGGGGAAGAAAGCTGTTTCTATTTATATCTATGAAGAAACACACCACTAAATTAACTAATCACCAGTGAACAAATTACAACACTGCCCTAGTGGGGCAGTGTAACAATAAAATAAAATCAAAATGGGAAAGATCAAGGGGAGCGGAGAATGAAACCAGTGTTGGTGGGGGAACCAGTTTAGCTCCTAAATACAAAGTCCCGAATGGTATCAACCAAAACTGGAGTTGTTCTGTTTGCGCCTCATGTGACAAGAATGTATAGCTACCTTAAATGTTGTCTTGGGCTCTTGTATTTCAGGTTACATTTCTGAGCTGTGTTAATAGTTGATTTCAGCTAGAATACTACAAATACTCTCAGGACTAAATGGATATAGAATACTACAAATACTCTCAGGACTAAATGGATATAGAAAATGAATCATTATCAACAATGTATATTTAAAATAACAGCTTTAATGTTCCAAGGACCTTCACAAGAGCATTATAAAACAAACCAAAATACATGAGGAGCTATGTGGAGATACATGAGGTCACATGTCAAATAGCTTGGGTAAATGGAAGGTAGAGGCTAAGAGGTTCCTGCTCTTGATTGTTAACCGAATGGAAAATGCACATATTTGGATGTCTGGTGATCACAAAATCAAACTCATAAGTTGAATTCAACCCTTCAGATGATCTGTCCTCTGTTTTGGTAGCCTCCATTTGCTTCAGTCAAGGGCACAGATGGAGGCAAGGGAATGGGTACTATAATTTGTCAAGATGCTCACTAGTCATCCCTTTACAAGCTAATTGTCGGGAGCTTTTCACATTGGCGACTGACTCACTGTCCCTGCCAATCTACTCACCCACCCCCAATTTAGCCTGCAAAATGGAAAATCTCAGCCTTGATCTCTAATCTGTTTTGCCCCTTAACCTTTCCCTGACATTTTTGTTTCCCTTGACCTTCATCTCTTTTTCAACATCATAAAACACATCACATTTCCACCTCTCTCTTCAGTTCTGAAGTCATATTGGGCTTGAAACAGTACATCTGCTTCTTTCTCCACAGATGCTGCCAGACCTACTGTGTTTTTTTTTAGGCACTGTCTGTTTTTATTTCAGATCCCCAGCAGCATTTTGCTTTTCTTCAAATGTGTTGCTGCCTAAAGTCAAATGTCTTATTCACACTAAGTTGTTTGACTCAGTTATGAAGAATGGCAACTTCGATAAGGTTCTAGAAGGCCACTGGTAATCACAAAATTCCAGATGCTCCAGTAAATAGCAGCAACTTCTGTGTAGAAAGACAAAAAAAGGGCAAAAATAACCATTTCACAATTTTGCCTTTTATCAACTTGGAACGTGATCTAATATTATTCTACACATGAACCATATTTAAACTCAAACTGATAAAGTTGGTTCAGACACAAAGTCGGCAAGAGCCAGGAGGGCCAGAAAAAATACATTTCAATACTTTGGGAAAGCTGCCTTTTGTGCTTCCTGAAGCAGTTTACCCATTTTAAGGGTATGTGCTCTGTGAATGAAGTGATTCTCAGGAATTCCCAGGAGATTTTGGGAAGATATTGGAAGGATGGGGAGGCAGAGGAGAGGAGAGGGGGGATAGCTATCATGGACAAGTTTTGACCCTCAAGAGTGCTGTGGACATGGGGAATAAACACCTCGACTCCTTATAGCACATTGATGTTGAAAATGATTGATCCATTTTCCTTTCTTGTTGGGGCAATGCACGGCCACAGCAACCATTGAAAAACCCAAACACATTAGGTTGGGCTCAGCACTTACTCCATTTAGTGCCATCCAATTTAGGAAAAATTGGCATTAGGTTCCTCATTTGCTTACAAAAGTGGCCTAGTGCTTGTTGCAGACAATAGCCAGCCATACTTAAAAAATCAGTCGGGCCATTCGGACTTATTTCAGGGTCTTTGTGTCTAAGACATGAGTCTACAAAATTGATGCATTTGGCCTGGTCCTGTTTGTAGATAACAATCACAACTTGTCCCCCCACCATGTGCTTAAAAAAGAAGCAGCTAACAGTTTCACGATAAATTTATGACATTTTTAGCATCTGAATGATCACATTTATTATTTACCTTACAGTTAATCTGGGATTGTTGCCAGACCCTTTAGGACTTTCATGGGATTATAAATGGAATTTTGGATTATAGAGGCTGGTAACAAATATCATACAGATCTTTGAACATTTGAAACCAGGATCTGTGACCTTCCCTTCAGCGTGAAATGTAAGTGTGGTGGCTGTGTATGTTTGTGGATGGATGTGCCATGGGGAAAGAAGGTGGTGCCTGATATCTATTTGAAATATAATGGCATAACATACGGTTTCAGCCACAAGTCTATATTTAAACTGCATGAGCTGGCAATGCATATATACATGTAATATAATGCACATCAATATGGAAACATCAGACACAATTATAGAAGCCTTTGATTTTTGTTTAGATATCAATATGAACCTTATTACATAGTAGGCATTTAAAATACTTCTTCATCCACTCAAATAGTGATATTGCAAAGTAGGCACATGGGTGCTGGGAATCAACTGGTATCTTAATCAAATGACTATTATTCATAAGCAACTCCAAACAGTAAATGTGAACAGTTTGTTTAAACTTTGCAGCTAATAAAGGTTAAGTGAATAATTTCCTGGCCCTGGAGGAGACAGTTGGATGAGGGGGGAGAAGGTGGCATCAAATTATGATAGTAAACATTAACCTCAGCTAATTCTTTTCTACTCCCTAGCCCAGAGCACAAAGGTCAACTAACAAAGGGTTCAAAACAGAGGCCTTCTGGTCTTTTGGCTTGAGCACTTTATTTGCATGTATAGGTTCTGCTTTACTTAAAATTCTGTACCTTGTCTGCATGTTCTGGACTTAGAAAATAAATTAAGGAAATAAATTATGCAGAATATATTAATATGTAGGATTCATATTACAATGCTCATGCACTCTGGTACAATTCAGTTGGGTAAAATTTGCATGATTGTTATCAGACTCACGATCTTTTCGTGATTCTGTCTACAGTACTTAAAATAACAGCATTTACGAGCAATGTTCTGTGTGCATCTCTTAAGACAGTCAGCAGCTTCTCTCGTTCCTGTTCTATTATTAAGTCAATGCTGATCCTTTGAGAATGAACTATTGTCAGGTGACAGAGTATAACTATGACATTAAATATGACAAGTAACCAGTTCACTATTAAAACAGTTCTCTTCCAAGAAA